AAAACCCCCCCAAAAAGTTTTGCCTTCAGGTTATTATCTACTTTTTATGTGATACAGCAGAGTCTTTTCAACAATTGTTTTTATAAAGTTGAAGACCTAGTTTTGAAAGGATTCTTGCACTATGTAGAAAAAGTTACTGCCTTTTTCATATTAATTTCCTCGACGGCTCTATTGACTCACTAGAGGCCAGAAGTCTGTGGAAAGTAGATCACAGATCCTGTATTCTAGGTCTATGAACACATGCCTGTCTAATGAATCATTTGTAAAAAAATGATGCTTTGACTACAGACCTTTGTAGAGTCTGAAATATAGAACACGCTGAGAATTACAAAGAATTTCATTTTATCTTGAGAGTATTTTTTTTGCTACTAATTCATTGTTCAGTAACAAATACTACTTTCTTTTAGTACACACATATACAATATAATCTCTACATTTTCCATTAAATCTAAAAGGTGATACTGTGTTAAGGTGATGGGTACAAACTACCGGTATATCTAGCTATAAAAATGATGCATTTTATAGCACCCAAACCTCTAAGTTGTGTGTGTGTGTGTGTAATATATATATATCTACTGGTCATGATATGGTCATGAGACACACACTTATACAGTGTGTGTGTGCATATATATATATAGTGTGTGTGTATATATATATATATATGCACACACACACTGTATAAGTGTGTGTCTCATGACCATATCTGAAAATTCATTTGTATAAGTGTGTGTCTCATGACCATATCTGAAAATTCATTGGTGGCTAGCGTGTGTGGTTCATCATGATTGATGTGGACCTACAGCACTGGAAGATGTGATAAATGATAGATTTACTTTGTGTTTTTGTTTGTGGTTTTTTTTCTTGGGTTTTGGTGTTTTATATACTTCTTTTTTTTCTGTAAATGAGTAAAAATCAGTACTATTTACACTAGGGATGTCCCGATACCACTTTTTCAAGACCAAGTACTGTCCCTCATGTACTTGCCGATACCAATTACCGATACTTTTTCTTAAAGGGACATGTGACATTTTTTCTAAAACAATACAGACTAATGATTTTAGGGCAGTTTCTCACCAGTGCTGCATGCATTGGAGGTGACAGGTTCTCTTTAAGGTGACATTAGGGGTCTTTTAGACCTCTAGTGTCACCTTTCTACTTCACTGGATTCACTGAATGTAAATACAGCAGGCAGTGGCTGGGAGCAATAGCCAGCCTGCTATTGGATATTTTAAATTGCAATAGGCAATAGCAGGCAGGCTATTGTACCCGCCTGCTGTCAATCAGCAAAGGAGGGAACTGAAGACAAAGTTCTCAATCAGGTCCTCTGTGCTGATTGACAGCAGGCAATGGTGGGGGGGGGGGGGATTGTTACAAGTGTCCATTCCTTTTTCACTTGAGGAAACTCCTTTTTCACTTGAGGAAACTGTTTGCTTTTTGTGGTATATCTCAGTGTAAGATGTCCATGCTCCTTATGTGTTTAATAATGCTCTCACCAGACGTACACAGAAGTTTTCCCTCTCAATGAAAGAAGAGAATGTCCGTTCTGTGTGAAGGAAAGATTTACAGCTTCTCTCCCCCGTGAGCACACTGAATGGACATTCTCTTCGTACAATGAGAGTGAAAACTGCTGTGCAGCAAGGAGCACGGGCATCTCACACTGACATATATCACCAAAAGGAAACTGATTCATAAAGTTGAAAAGGACGGGACACGGAGGAGCAGCAGCAGCTAAGACACAGGGGGAGGGGGGCAGCGGGGGATTTCACAGCTGCCGTCTCTTCTGCCTTCTGGTGCTGGCTACAGTGGTCTGTGAAAGGGACGCAGAGCTCTGCAGTCAGCACCAGCATGGAGAAGAGACTGTCCGCACAACACTTACCCCCGCCATGCTGTCTCACTTCCGGCGAGATCAGAGGGAAGAGGGAGCCCCGTTTGGTGGAGAGGTATTCCGGGGGAGGGGCTATAAGGGTCAATGGCCGAAGCTAGTTAAAAAAATGTAAACGGCCGGTATCTGATCTAGGCATCGGGGCCTTTTCAGGAGTACAAGTACTCCTGAAAAATGCCTTGTATCGGCCCCGATACCGGTACTAGCATCGGTATCGGGACATCCCTAATTTACACCTTACTCATACACGTGGCTGGGCTACAAAATTTGACAGCCTGTGCCTTTGTACAGTTCGGGGGAAGGGGAGGGAGGGGCACACTCCCTTCCCTTTCCTGGCCAGCCAGGCACAGATATGGGTCTGATATGTATTTTTGTTTTATGCATGGGCTAACTCATTAAAATCCATATCACATTCATAGGGTTTAGGGACACCACACTTTTTTCCATCAGGTCCCCCTTTAAATTTACACCAGGCCCCTATCTAGGATAAGGGTCTGGTATGGATTTATTTATTTTTTTTTGCACAGCATCATTGGTCTTTATGGTGCACCATAGCATGTAGAAAAGTCACTCTCTCTAATGTTCCTGGTGACTGTTATCACAGAAAGTGAAAATGAAAGAAAATCCCAAATTTTGGGCTGTCATCAGAAAAGAGAGATGTGAAATATTCCATTGGAAACACTAGTTCTGGTGACTCTGTTGGCCTACAGGGATTCCCCTAACTTTGAAGGGATTTCCTCTGTTTATACCTAGGCATAGGTGTTATTGCGCTTATTAGCGGGTGTTTTTGCGCGTCTCGCACATTTTTTCGTGTGAAAGACATTGTGGTCAATGAACAAACACATGCAATGTGCAAAACACTTGTGACCTGCCTTTCCAGGGGTTTCCATTAACATCTATGGGACCAAAGGAGCTGTAATGTACTTTTTCCAGCATTCAGCGTTTTTACAGCTTGCGACAAAATGCTCAGGTGGGAACAGGGGCCATTGAAATAAATGGGATTTCTTGTGTTGAGAGATTTGTCACGCTTCGCTTTCAGCTTCAAAACGCCTAGGTGTGAATAGGGACTTTAACAAGCACAGACTGCAGCTGGCTCAATTGCGCCTATAACATAAAGTAGAGATCCCTTACATAAAGTGTGCTACTGGCTGGATCACCAGGCAAAAATTAATGAAAAAAATTAAAACCAAAACTAATGCAGCTAAATTGAAAGATTTGATGTTGTGGGTTTACATACTTGGTACAATTGTATTGGTAAGTAAGCTTATATTGGTTCTTGGGTGGTGATTTTGTTTGGGGACATCAAAAGTCAGAATAATGTTCATAAAGTAAATTATTATGTTTGAAATCTACTAAAAAAATTTAATTTGTCTTCCAGTTCATTACACTAACTGAATTCTTCTCTTCCAATCTCTAATTGGAGTCATTATTATCAGCTAAAATATCTGTGCATGGGGACCTGGGGCTTTCGGGAAGTATTTGCCTTACCAAACCCTTTCATCAAGAGGAAAAACTGTTTCTTCAATACATAAGCAGTTAAATCTGAAGGATATAGGGCATGCTATGTTAACGTTTTACTTTTATCTTCTGCCTGATGATTCTCTCGTGGTGTTTAATATATTCATAACAAATGAATAATCAATACTCATTCCTATTTTTTTTTCCTGCAAGCTAACATACTTCCTTTTTTTTCATCTCAACAGAGGGTGATATTTGTTAAAGACGGATATTTTTTTATCTATAGCAAATACTACTTGCCATTTTTCTGTTATACGAGTTTAATTGGCCACATTTAGGAAATGTTTTAAAATATTTTTTCTGTTTAGTCGGGTAGGTTTGTATTACTGTATATGACTTTTTATATTGATCCTGTTCAGCTAGGAGCACTAATCTGTACAATTCTTTCTGCTGTTCAATTGTTTGCATTTACTTCAGAACACACAGCCCGATGAAACAGTGAAAGGGCAGATCTCTGTCCTAGTTCATATGGCTATTTATGAAATATTAATGAGGGAAACACAAGTGAGCAACTGCTGTTTTGTTAGAAAGCCCAGAATGCTTTAAAAACCCAGCATCATGGAAGCACCTGGGACTAAATGTTTATTTCTGTAATTTATTTAAGATCAATTCATAAAAAGGTGTACAACTTATAGGGGATGATATATAAAACTTTATAAACATTTTATTTGCTCTTTGGCTCCATCTAGTGGTAGGAATGCTGTGCTAAAACGGGCAGACGTTTTATAAATCATCCCCCTAGTGCTTGGTCATTTTATTTTTGAATACTTATAATAGTTTCCCTTTTAAAAAGAATGCACTAACAAAACACACATTTTGTCATAATTGGTATATTGGTTAATATTTGAATTGCAATCAGAATTGTGTGTTCCCTTTTTTGTCACTGATGAATGATGAGCACTTTGTTAAACATTTAAAAAATGTGTATTCCTAAGCCTAAGGAAAACTTATGACTTTAAGTTCCTTAAGGGTAATTTTGTAATGATAATGTAGTGCATTCCTAATGATGTGTACTGTATTAGACAAAAGTGCTTCAGCATCATTAAGCAGCTGGGGCCACCATGAGTATGGACCAGTCATAGTAATAAATGAGGCCATGACACGTTCTTTTGAAGCCCATCCCCACTTTTGTAAATCACCCCTGCCCCCTTTGCCAAGTTTAAAAAAGTTATTCATAGCTTAAATCCAGTGTTATTCTGCCTAGTACAATGACATCAATAGTACTTGTTGTCCGACAGCAATAAACATTTCTTACTGCTTCACTAAGCTGTGCTTCGTTCATGTGATGACGTGGGAGCACTGTTCAGTGCTGTAGTACTGGAGTGTTGCCATACGCCAAGGGGTGTGCCCATAACAGTCTGGGCTCACAGGAAGTGGGTACAATTACTCTGGCTATCAATTCAGCCTGGAAGAGAAGCACCCTTTAGAGAAGGAATTAGCTTTTTGTGGGGGATAGAGCCAGAGTGCAGTTGAGTATTGCAGCAAAACCTGTCTGTGCTGGGCAAATTATTGATAAAAGGAAAACAGGGGCTTTCATTTAAAATTCTCCTTTTCATATTACTACACTTTGTTCATTTGTGTGATTTTCATTCTGTTTCAGGTTTACTGGAGGAGAACTCAACATATGTTACAATGCTCTTGATCGTCACATAGAAAATGGTCGAGGAGATCAAATTGCTGTTATACATGACAGTCCAGTAACTGACACTAAGCAGCCTATTACATACAGAGAAGTTTATGAACAGGTAATTATTGTGCATCAGCAGATATCACTTTTTATATAAAACTTTGTATAAGCCATTTTTCATCTTTTTCTATGGTATATCAGGCTATTTCTCAATGCTGTCCCCAATCAATAGCGGACCATGTGTGATCTATTTTAAAAAAGGATAACGTTCTCATGGATTGAATCAATAAATCAATAACCTCTGTTCACAGTGAAGGTTTGAAAGTTTATTTAGAGTTAAGCTGGCCATATACTCCTTTTCATTTTGGAGAAATTCGAGCTGTGGGTGGCCCTGTTGTTGGCATCACCCAACTAAACAAAAGTCGCTTCAAAAATTGTCAAGCATATCCTATCAGATGCAGTCTCTGTTTGGGTATTTAGGTAGATACTGGTGCTATGACTGGTGGTTGGAACGTATTGATTTTCTCTTGTTCAACCCATGTGCTGAACGAGAGAAATCCATGCATGTATGGGTAACCCTACAAAGTAAAGTAACAATTAGAAAGTAGAGTAATTATCACACATGGAGATCCTAGACTTGAATTATCCAAGGTACTGACCATCCAAACTCCTGAAACAAAGAGTCAAACTTTGTCCATGTACCACAACAAGGCATTCCAAAAAACCTGAGGTCAACAATTTGTTCTAACATCTTTCTATAAACCTATTATATAATGAACCTAACACTAGCATATAAGCACAGTAATGTAATTTAATCATTGGTGAAATACATGATCATTATTTATCTTTATAAGGTTATTTCTCTCACCAAGCTAACATTTGTAAAACAAAAGCTTCCAGAAATAAGAAATATACCTGCTGATGGCTTCCAGTCCAGAATATGTTTTCGGTCGGAAGCACTGCTGTAACTTTTCCTTTGTATACAGAAGCGCCAGTCTGCATGCAGGGAGAATTGCTTTTGAAGATGCTGTTTCTCCTCCAAGTCTGCTCCACAGGACTTAGAGGGAGAACAAGACCTCTCAATGTAAGAAGCACATTTCTTCATAGCTGAACGGTGTTAATTGAAAGTTGAGGGCAGGAATAAAGTAATCTTAGTAGTGCAGGGGTAGAGCATCTATCTATCTATCTATCTATCTATCTAGATGATTTTTAGTATTCTTTGTGAATAGAATTGCTGTCAGTGCAGATTCCTCCATCCACTCTTTGAAGTATAAATGTGGGGAACTTCTTTTTGTTCAGCCCACAGGCTGAACGAGAGAAATTGTAGTGTGTGGGACTAGCCATGGTACCTTTTAGGAAGTACAGAAAATACCTGTTGATCTAGCCAGCATGCCTAATGTCACCTCTGTGATCAATGTATACAGCAAAATTAATCTAAGCAATCAACCTGCATTTAATGGAGATAAACAAAGGCAGACATGTTTGAAGTGCAGCCTGGTTGACAACCATGACTGCCTCCATAGATGCAGTGGAGGAGTGAGTGTAGCCACACAAGGACAGGAAGTCTGCTATTTGAAGATTCCCTGCTGAAAATAAAGGTTAAAAAAAAACAAATGACATCATATATTAAATATTTATCTTTGGGTTTGGATACACTGTAAACTGTGGTTCTCTTTATCACTGCTGTATGTTTGAATTAATAATTGCAGTTGACATCACATTACCCTCTGCTCTGGAACATTAAATCAGTCACAAATTGGTCAAACATTAGATGTGCCCAGAAACAATATTTTTTGAACAGACAATTATTTCTTCCGTGCTGGGGCTTCTTTATGCTATCAACCCTTTTTTTATGGTAGAATACTGAGATTTATCATACACTGTATTTAGTGCTCTACAACCCTAGCCTCTTTTTGTTTTTTAACCTATGGCGTGCAGAGGAATTAATATTTTCTGATTGTTTGGGTATTTACAAGCATCCCTGGTATATATATCCTATCACCTCCTGTTTTTACTGAGGTTTTCTGAATACACTAAAGGAGTTTAAAGTTTCACTGCTTTTCTACCTTTTAAACAGTGGATTGGAGGACTATTATTTCCCAGCGCCACTTAAAAACGTTGCTGGAGAAAAGACCTATGGGCTCCATTCCATCCGCTTATTGCTGTGTATCGAGGCATCATTACTCGGCTTGGTACACTATCTCTCTGTATCAATGTGCCTCATGACAAGTCTAATGGAGGCTGAGCGGCCCCATACCATGTAATCGATGAAATGACCAGTGGAGATTTTTACCAGCCATGGCTTTTTCCAGTGCATCCCCAATATACAGACAAGGCAATTTGCCTTGTTTCAATGGGCACAGTTCACACCACCTCATTTCAGTAGTGTGTGCTGTAAACAAAGTATGGCATGTTGTACTTTTTTTCAGCACAGGAGGTTGTGACACAGTACAACCGCATTGCACTGCGTTGTGCTGACTGAAAGATTATCAAGCACCATCTTTTAACCCCCCAGTGCCAGCATGCTTCTTAATTTTTCTAAAAAATTAGATCACCTTGGGGTTTTCCTTTCATTCTGGGGGTTTTCTACTGTCTTGGCATTTTTATTTTAACGTAAAAACCTCCAAAATGAAAGAAAAACCCCAAGGTGATCCAATTTTGGTGAAAATTAAGAAACATGTTGGCACTGGGGGTTCTAAAGATGGTGCTTGATAATCTTTCAGTCAGCACAGCGCAGTGCTGTGTTATTTAAATTAGTGCTAGGTCTTATTTTCGGGGTAGGTCTTACTTTCGGGGAAACACGGTAGTAAAAAAAAAATGGCCTGGTAATAAAAGGATATTACAGACTGCTGCTCAAGTAGTTAAAATGATCCATGTACAGTATATGCATTTTTGTTTCTTTATGTATGTATAAATGTCCTTGTAAAGCGTATAATCTGGGAATATGTGTGTACTATATAGTGAGGCTCCATGTTTATCTTATGCTGTAATGAGCTGTCATCCAAAGATTTGTAATCCTGCTGATGAGCTTTTCATCTAATGGTTGTGCCCTGCAGTCCTTCACTGTAGTCAGCTGTACCCTCTAGTCAAAACCTGTTTGCAGGTATTAAATGATGGCTTTGTGATTATGTATGGGCACCTTCACGTTTTATTTTCTACCGAAGTGAATTCTGTTTCTCTGGAGGTAATATTTGACCCTGTGCTTGTTTTTCAAACCTATGTAACTCTTGCAGAGATAACTACGCAAGTCGCTGAGCTATTATAACCCTGCGTATGACTCATTAGGAAGGTTATTGTGATGGTCAGCTGTCGAAAAGGTTTGGCAGTATTAAAGTGTACTATCTATTAAGAGCATTCTAACAGCAATATCTATGATCATTTTTAAAGTATGTAAAAAAGTAATATATTGTTTTATAAATAGTTAAAAAAAATAAAAAAAATAAAAAAAAAATTGTGCCTCATTAGGGAGATTTCCCTTTACTTCTAGTACCGCAGATTTAACAAGAAGTAAGAGGATATCTGTCCAATGTGAGGAAAATCCCCTCTTAAGGTGCCCATACACCTATCAATATTTTTGTTTTTTGTTTGTTTGGAAATCGTCCACGAATGATCTTTCGTATGATAATTGATCAGCTGATGGGACACCCAACGATTTTCATTACTGTACTCCTGGCGATGCAAAACGTTCTGTGTGAACCAGGTCTAATTGTGCCCAAATGTGCATCATAACGCACAAAAACACTGTTCCCCTTTATTCCTGTTCTGGTGGCAACTAAATATTTTGGATTTACCCTCACATTCCTGGTGACATAGGGAGCTTCATTCTTAAATGTCCTGATCACCAAACGGGGACACAGACAAGAATGACATCCTGACAGTGGTTGTGAACCCTCACCATTCTATCTTAATCTAAAAAAAGAAAAACGTTTTTTTGCCTTTTTAGTAAGGGGGCTAAATGCAAGTATACCTATTTACTAAACATTTAAATATGACCTACCCATAATTTAATTTACACAGGGAAAGCAGTAGATGTGAAGAGGCATAAACAATGACATAACAAAAGGGCAGCTCAAACCTCATACATATTAAAAGTTCTAGTGATCCTTCTGCAGCAATGCAAACCTAAAGTAGATCTTACATGCATAACCAAGGCATCAACCTGCCAGAAAGTTTTCCTCCTGGAGTTCTTCTTCAATATGAAGAGTAAAGAAGAACTCTAGGCAAAACTTTTTTTTAACCCTTGCACTGGGGCTTCCCCCGGACTGCAAGGGTTAACTACTCATTTTTGTCCAGGTGCTAAAGAAAATGTTATACTCACCTGTACCGCAGAGCCGGCTTGCTCTTAGACCAGTCCTTCCAGCCTCTTTCCCCCTCCTCTGCAGCAGTCTAAGGTCCCAAAAATCATCACGTTCTATTATTATTATTATTATACAGGATTTATATAGCGCCAACAGTTTGCGCAGCGCTTTACAATATTGTAAATATTGATTGTAAAGGAAGACATTACAATCACAATTCAAGACAAGATGGGAAGGAGGGCCCTGACCTGAGGGCTTACAATCTAAACAATGTGTATAGACGTGAGGATGCCAAAGAACATTCCAATGCTGCAGCGTAGGTGTAGACTGGCTTCAGAGACTGAAGCAGGGAGCCAACTCTGCGGTTCAGGTGAGGTAAAACTTTTTTTTTCTTTAAGCACCTAGACAAAAATGGGCAGTTAACCCTTGCAGTGCAGAGTAGCCCCACTGCAAAGGTTAATAAACGTTTTGCCCAGAGTTTTTTAAGTAATTTCATCTAGCAATACAGATTTACAGTGTTATGGCAGTATTTAATATATCACTATTTAAAGACTGTCATAAAAGGGCATGCAGGGATACCTTTTCTAATACAGTCTCCAAAGTGACAAGTGACACAGTATTAACCAATGCTGGAACACAAAACAGCACTCGCTACTGTGGTATGTCTCTTTATTATATTCAAATAGAATATTATTTATATTTTCTTTTCTAGTTAGATTTTTTTCTTTTCTCTAAATGTGATCATAATGTAAGCTCCTTTTTAACTTGTCAGTCTTAAAGCAATTATTATAAGATAACCTCCATAGACAAAATAACAAGA